GATTAAAGTGGAGATAAAGTTATGTACCAGCTATTACACTGATTGGGAGAAGAAGATCACAAAGAGGATATCCAATGCATTCAGGAGGAATGCTTGGAGGATGGAAATTCTCAAATTTCAAGGATGGAGTTTTTCAGAAATTTTCCATGTTAATGAAGCAGATGCTAATCTTGCTCTTCTTCCAAGAGATATTAAAGCAGAAGATGCAGTTATGTTATCAGATATGGTAACTACAGGATTCCATGGAGCAGAATTAGCTAATATTAAACTTGGAGATACAGTTTGTGTTATTGGTATTGGACCAGTTGGATTAATGTCAGTTGCAGGAGCAAATCATCTTGGAGCAGGAAGAATTTTTGCAGTAGGATCAAGAAAACATTGTTGTGATATTGCTATGGAATATGGAGCAACAGATATTATTAATTATAAAAATGGAGATATTGTAGAACAAATTCTTAAAGCTACAGATGGAAAAGGAGTTGATAAAGTAGTTATTGCAGGAGGAGATGTTCATACATTTGCACAAGCAGTAAAAATGATTAAACCAGGATCAGATATTGGAAATGTTAATTATCTTGGAGAAGGAGATAATATTGATATTCCAAGAAGTGAATGGGGAGTTGGAATGGGTCATAAACATATTCATGGAGGTTTAACACCAGGTGGAAGAGTTAGAATGGAAAAATTAGCATCACTTATTTCAACTGGTAAATTAGATACTTCTAAACTTATTACACATAGATTTGAAGGATTAGAAAAAGTTGAAGATGCATTAATGTTAATGAAGAATAAACCAGCAGATCTTATTAAACCAGTTGTTAGAATTCATTATGATGATGAAGATACTCTTCATTAAATTCATTAATTCAAAATATTTAAATATATTTTTTTAGTTTTAATATTTTTCTAATCATGAAAGTTCTTGAAATTGTAAAAAGATTCAAATGCATAACGTTTTATAATTTTATATTAATTTATGTTTATTTATTTTGAACTTAAAAAAGTTGTAAAATAATAGGAAATTAGTTGTATTGAATCTATTAATGAAATTAATTTATTTTTTTATATTTTTAGTCTCTATTTCTTTTATTTCAAACGGTTTTAAATTTCTTAATATGTTAGTCCTTAGTTTTAACAATAAAATATTCATCGCTAACGAAAACACTTAACTCTTTTAAACAATAAACTAACGCTTAAGTATTCAAATAAAGTTCAACGATAAAAAAGATAAATAAAAAAGAGATATAGAGAAATATATAAAATTATTTAAAAAAACAAAAAATATGAAATTATAAAAATGTTTTTTTTTAACTTTTCAATTGAGAAATTTAAAGGTAATCCATGAAAGTCTTTGGTAATGGAACGATCTTAGTTTCATAAGTCTTTTGGAGTCTATTGATAGTGTCCATTTCTTCAGTAGTAATAAAATCAATAGCAACACCTTTTCTTCCGAAACGAGCAGATCTACCAATTCTATGGATATAAGATTCATCAGAAACAGGCATATCAAAGTTAATAACAAGAGAAACTTGTTGGACATCAATTCCTCTAGATAACATATCAGTAGTAATAAGAATTCTAGTAGCACCTTGTCTAAATTCATTTAAAACATTATTTCTTTCTTCCATAGTTAAATCACCATGAGTAATTGAAACTGGATAGTTATGAGCTTGAAGTCTTCTTTGAATCCATTCTACTCTATTCTTTGAGTTACAGAAAATAACTGATTGATTAACAGAGATAACTTGATAAAGATCAATGAGAGTATCAATTTTATATTCATCTTTAACAACATCAATATAAAATTGTTTAATACCTTCTAATGTAAGTTCTTCTTTTTTAACTAAAATCTTAACTGGATTTTCCATAAACTTCTAGAAA